CGCAGAGAGCCCGGCACTCCTCATCGGCCACGAAGTACTCTTGCAGGGCTGCCTCTAGGTGGGGCACAGCTTCCTGCGGCTGCTCCTCTGAGTAGAGTCGCACTCCCAGTCGGAACTCGTGCTACTGGGAGGAAGGGGTACTCAAACACAGGCCAGAGACAACCCTCTCCTCGCCCATGGCTACCTTCACAGGCATCCTCATATCCTACTGGTGTCAGGCTGTGGATGGAAAGGGCAGCTGCTACATAACGAAGGCCTTTTGTCAATGGTCTTTACTTGTTTCTTTTGAAATTTAAAAACATTTAACTCAATCTAGATGAAAGATGTATGGGAGCTCATTGTAATTTTCTTGCACTTTTCTGTAGGGCTAAAAGTTCTCAAAATAAAAGCTTAATAAAAAAATGTAACTCTTAAGTGTCAGAATGTGGTCTGTGGCGATGAGAGCAATCTTTGCAGCAGTCAGGGGTAATGGGGGCTGCTGCCACTGATTACAGACTTCGGTTTTGCTATCTGTGAGACACAGCCCCCTCTCGTGGACAATAACTATTTTCATTTGTCACAAAATCACTAAAAAAAACCCCGCAAAACTGTGTATAGTTGTATAATGTAACAGATGCACACAATTTACTTTTAAAAGTCATTCTGACATTGTTTCTGATATCTCTATTTCTAAACTATTAACATTTAAGAGAACATACACTCTTTACAAAAATGCTATATTATCACAGACAATATCTCTTACGGAACAGACTTTTCCTGCTGAACAAATAGAATAAGAACACTGAGGAACACTGTGCCACTTATTGTAGTGCAAAGCAAAAACCTACATGACCAAAAGTAAATTAATATGATCTATGCATAAGATGGACTATCATGGAGCCATTAAAAGTTGTGTTTTCAAAGAAAATTTAAAGATATGAGAAAAGGCTCATGATATAATGTTAGTTCAAAAAGGATGATGAAAAATACATATATAATATGACACCAAATTAGGTTAAAAAATTAGATAGACTTATTAGATTGTTAGACTTATTATATTATATATATACATACATATAATATATATTATAATATTATTATATTATTAGACTATTAGACTTATTAGATTAGACTTAAAAAACTGGCCAAAATATCAACTACTGGTTTTCTTAAGGTGATAGTATTATAGATGATTACTTTCTGTTTTATACTTATCTGCATTTTTCTAATGTTGTTCAATGAACATATATTACTTCTGTAATCAGAAAACAACCCTAGTCAATGTCACTTTGATAAAAAGACAGAGAGAGAGACGGGGATCAAGTTTTTTACCATATGGGGTTTGGCCTCAAGATCCTTGAAGTCAGCCTCCTTCACCCCAGACATGGTTTGGTAATAGTCTAGGTTCTGACGCATCTCCATGTGCTCGGGATTGCCCACGAAGAAGGTGTGCGCCGCTGCTACGGCTTTCTCCAACTTGTTTATCTAAGAATGAAGCACAAGAACATAATTCTCACACCCAAACCCTGAAGGTTTGTATCCAAATGCGCAGTCCACGGTAAACAGGAAATCCCAGCCTTCCTGAGCCTTCCACTCAAATTGTGCCCCAGCCCCTGCCAGCCCCAGAAAACACACCTACTGCAGGAACTACACACCAGAGATTAGCACAAGGGTCCTGGGCGGATTTTCAGCTATTTTTCAAATCAGGCTCAGGGGTCCCCAAGTTACAGGAGGTAATGCTTCATCGGTGTAAACTTTCTATTTTAAAACAAAGGTCCTATTGTAGGGGGAAGGCTGTGGAAGACTAACTGCCCAAATAACACATTCTCAAGATTCAGATGTAGCAACTGAGCTGAAGACAGCCTAAGGCTTCAAGGATTTAGGGGTAGGGGAGAAAGAGCAGTTAACAATTAGACCATACCTAAGAATTTGCTTAGAAAATACTTTTTTTCCCCATAAAATAAGTGTTTTTGACACATTCAAGGAAAAGGTAGGTGGCTGAAAAATCCTAAGGTTCTATACCAAATCCACACAAGGCATCTTCTGACTCAAAGCCCAGGGCTCACAAGGTAAAAACAAGTAGCTATAAAGAAATCTGAGGAGAAAAAGTGTGCTACCCATGATGATAATGCCCACAGCAATGGACTCCAGAACATCCAAGTGACACAGGTTCATACGTAGACTCCAGAATCAATCACTGATGACCTAATGATTAACTACAGGGCTTTGGGGTCAGACAGACCGGTGACAGATCTAGGTTTAACCACTCACTTGCTGGGGCTTTAGACAAATTACTTCAAGTTTACTCTCTAAACTCAGTTCCCTAATCTGTCATCTGCAGACAGCCCTCACTCACTACCTCACAGGATTATCGGGAAGGTTAACTGGGGCAACGTATATGCAGCTTCTCACACATGGTGCCGGGTGCATATTAAATGCTCAATCAATGTTAGCTCAGTAACTGTAAATCTTAGCATATTAGTAATATGCTAAGAAAATATTTTTTCTTTTCTGGTCATCAGTACTAGTAAGTGCACACTAAAAAAGGAGTCAGCCTTGGCCTGTGACGCTAAAATAGCTAGGTAACCCAAGGTCAATAATCCTCATCTGTGTACCTCAGTTTCCTCAATGGTAAAATCAGAAATTCTCTCAAGTCTGTCCCTTTTGTGGAGTTATTCTCTCTCCCCTATCTTTGGGCATTGCTGTTGTCTTGCTCTGTTCTCCCCCATCTCCTCCCTCCTCTCTCTGCCCCAGCCCTTCTTTACTTCCTAAGCACTGAGGCACCGAATTTCCTTCTCTCATGTGGACAACTACATTCATCTCCTAATGGCTCGCCCTGCCACCACTTTCTCCTTCCAAGGCTTATTCCTCGTGGCTTCCAGAATTAGCATTCTGAAACCCAATTCTGATGATGGCTTCCTGAGGCCTGCAGAATTCTCTTTCCAGTCTTGCCTCACTCTGTCTGGAACAGCCATCTTTCTTCTCCTCTAGCAGTATTTAGGATCAGCTTCAAATGTCATCCTTTCTTTCAAGTCTTTCTAATTTCTGTGAGACAAAGCTAGATTCTCCTTCCTTTGTGCCCCCACAGACCTGTGACATATTCTTTTAGTAGTTCTTACTACAGTGATTCTTAACAGGAAAGCAAGACAAAACAAAAACATATCAAGTCAAGCATTTTAATTACCTATACAAGAACTGGAATGTAGTAGGTATTCAATAAATGTTTGTCAAAGAATTTTAAAAAGTGCTATTAAGTGACATGACCAAAGACACAGCCTAATTATTTTGGTTTCAGGTCCAGTATTCATTTGAGTAACTAGGAGGAATGGAGCAGAACTGTGTAAGCAAAATGCTTGTGGAGAGGAGGAAATCTGAGGTCCCCAAGATTTTCTTAGTCTCTCTTTAGGCTGATTTGAAGGTCTATTAAACTATGGATATTATAGATAATCGGCATAGTCCTCCTTCTTTTATTTCCCCCAACAAAATGCGGCTAATAATAGCACCTTCCTTACAGGATAGATATTGCAAGAATCTGGGCAAACGAATTAACAAACGCAAAGTACTTAAAACGGTGCCTGAAAGTCTGTGCTGGCTGTCATCATCATCACGCAAGCCAGGAGCACTCCAAATCCATGTATACACTGGGACTTAAGGCACTCTGGAATTCCTAAAAATACCCCTTTTCTTTGGAAACCTGACAGAAGGGCCTGAGGGTCCCCCACAGGGAGGCGCTAGACAGCCCTTACTGGCGACGTGGCAACCTCAGGTCCTGAAAGAGAGCTGCAGCGCTCGGGCTCGGGCAGCAGGAAAAGCATCCCTGAAACACGAACCGGAAGGAAGATACTGTAAAAGGTCCCAGCTTCTCTCTCGGACACTTACAATGAAATCAGGATGAGAGACCCAAGCTGCCGCTCTCGGGGGCCTCCCGGGGAACACAGGCCAAGTATTGCTGGGTCTGTGCCTTAGCCCCCAGGCTGGACCTTTGGGGTCCAATCTCCCTATGAGAGCCAGGCGAGACAGGTCTCCCGGCAGCGTCCCTGCTCTCCCTGGATCCGAGGAGAACTCCCCGGCCAGGAGGCCACCTTCCCTCTTCGCGGACGCTTCCCTGACCCCCCAAGTTCCCCCGGGTCGCCTGCCACCACGCCCAGAAGGCCCCCGGCCGCCCGAGCCCGGGCAGGTCTGCACCTTGAAGTAGGCGACCTGCAGGTAGTTGTAGGGGCTCCGCTTGCGGAACTCCAACTCCAGCTCCTCGCTGAGCGCGTGCGCGGCCGGCGGCCCGAGGCAGCGGCGCAGGCAGGCGGCGCGGCGCAGCAGGCCCCCGAAGAAGCGC